GTAGTGATATTGCAGGTTTTTGACACTTCCGGGTTGGCTTCATTTTTCGGGGCCGGTTGCTACGGCCATCTTTTATACAGTCTATGATCTGGACCAGCCTTTCATAGCCTTTATGAGACGACTGGTATCTGAGATTTCTCCGTGGATCTGAGAGAGCAAACATCGCATTCTGTGTCCGTCAGCAGCTGGATGGTCCAACCTTCATCTCAAATCATGATGAGGGGTGAGTCTGCAGCTACCACCGAAAGAAGAAACAACAGTTTTCACATCAGAAGAGCCTGAAGAAAGGACATCAGGTGAGGAGCACACTGAAAGCATGCTCGTAGTTTTCATGGTTCAGGGTTGTGCAACATGAGTTCATTGCACCGGGTCAGAGTGTCAACGCAGGGTTCTACTGAAGCATCCTGATGCATCTGAGGGAGAACGTTCAGAGCAAATGAACCTGAAGTCTGTGGTCACAACCTCCTGTGCGCCCGCTCACAGCGTGGTGATGACGCACAGGGTTTTTTGGCTCCAACAACACATTTGCCGCTCACCACATATCAAACTGAGCAGATCCGGCTCCCTGTGACTTCTTCCCTTTTCCAAAAATTTAAGTTGAACAATTCATGTAATTCGGCGCTCATCACAGACGGTGATGCTTACATAACGGGACTTCCAGGGAGCGTTTCAAGCGTTGCAGGAGTGCTGGGAGCAACTGTGTGAGGTTTTTGCTTTTTTGTAATTGCAGTCACAGAACTTTTTGATCGTACCTTGTAGTAAAACATGTGCCAGCTCCAGACGCTTGTTTATGATCTAACATTTCTAAAAGTGACACAGAATAAGTCAAGATAAGTAAATCACAGGACTGTGTGGGAGGACTACTTCTAGATTTACTCTATTATTCAGTTGTTGTTTTTTTTTCATGTACGGTTTCCTTTGCTGTATTGTTTGGTTTATACGAGTATTAGGGCCGCGTTAAGAAAAATATTTTTCCACAGACTTGGAGAATAAAGTCGTAACATTCAACCCAGTTGTTCTAGAAGAGGAAAGTTGTTCAAATTAGCATTTTGTGAAGTTTTACTTCAGCATCAGTTTCACAAACCAGGAGACACTTTATCTTTTGACGCACCAGCACCACTTTATCATTAATACCAGGACATTGAAAAGAATCTGCAAGAAAATTAATCTATTCTGAAGTAGGAACCTTCAGAATATATTCATTTTCTTGCCCGCATTTTAACAACTTTGCTCCTTGAAAACAACTGGTTTAAATATTAAGACTTTATTCTCAAAGTCTGTGGAAAAATATTTTTATTAATGTGGCCCTAATAATCCGTTGTAGGTTTAGGTCAAGATTGGGTAAAAATAATCACTTGAACATGTGCAACAAGAGGACCGCAAGGTGGCGCAGTTAGTAGCACCGTTACCTTGCAGCAAGAAGGTCGTCGGTTCGCAAGGAGTTTGCATGTTCTCCCCGTGCAGCGTGGGTTCTCTCCGGCTTCCTACCACAAAGTCCAAAATGTGAATGTGAGTGTGCTTGGTCGTCTGTCTCTAAGTGTAGCCCTGTGGTAGACTGGTTACCTGTCCAGGTGAACCTGCCTTCACCCTCAGTCAGCTGGGATAGACTCCAGCCCCCCCACGACCCTAGTGAGGATTAAGCGATGTATAGATAATGGATGGATGGATGTGCAACAAGCATCTCTTCTATTTTCAAGCCCCTCCCCATATAAAAAGACAGACATACCACCATCCTTCTGAAAAGTTTTAACATTTTACCTGCACTTATTCACACAACTGAAAGAGATCAGACATCAGTCATTTTAACCTGTCTATATATTCAATTAGTATTGTCATTTTACTGGTGAGGTTGGATCGGAGAAACAGGCAACCACGCACACTCAACACACTCTAGAGCCAATTTAGAACGACCACCATGCATGTCTTTGAACTGTGGAGGGAAGATGGAGCACCTGGAGACAACAACATGGACAGAAAGTCAAAAGGCAGGTTCAAACCCAGGAGCTTCTTGCATCCAAGAACTAAATACAGTTCTACAGTCCTTCCAGCTTAGAAACAGCAAACAACTTTTGACACCTTCACTTTATGTCTCGCTCAGTTCCAACAGCTTCAAATGAACCAAGAACTTCCAACTTGATTCAAAACATTCCACTCTCATCCACACATATTCATATTTTATTGCTAATCTTAATCCCACATCATGAAATAAGTATATTTTTTTTATCGTTGTCTCTTTAGTGACAGTCAGTCCTCATAAGCAAAGCAACACAACATCACACACTCGTGTCTCCTTTGCCTGTCAGAGACACTGTAGAGAACACAGGGATCAAAACAGGCATCACTTCCAGCTGCAAAGGGAAAGTTGACAAGCGGCATCTCGTCAGCAGTTCATTTCTCCCCCAATCTGCCAGAAAACACACACCGTCAGAAGCCACGCTGATGATACGCGCGCCACAAAGGAAGCCATTGTTCTTAATCTGCTTGTTACAGTTTATCAGCCCACTTTGATAGCGCTCTCTCAACACGTACACACATACTTGCAGTGCTGGGAAAACAAACGCTCTTCTGATCTGCCCCTCCTCGGGGGGCTTTGCGGGCTCATTGCGAAACCTCCCGTCTATCTAGACAAGAGTCGACCTGGAAACGGAACAAAGACCCGGCTCCCCGTTTCGCATCGTTATTTAGTAAAGTCTGTAGCTACGATAGACGGGATTACACACACACACACACACACACACACAGAGGCCGAGCGATCTCACTTTGCCACAGACTCGTTCTCGTTTTCCCAAAGCGACATTGATCTGATTCTGGAGTCAGACAGAGAAGTATGAGAGTCTGCCTGTAAGCAATAAGCACCGCTTTAAACACACCATTAAGCATCGCCTGTGAACGTTCCAGCTTTGTCAATACGATTTAACCTGCCCGCCGAATTAATGAATGAAGTCTCTAATTATGCTCAGTTAAACGCCAAACAGTAGGGAGCGATATTAGCTACTCGGTATTCACGAGGACAGAGGTTACGTAAATAAACGAGGGACGGCAAAAAAAAAAAGTACCAATTAGCCAAGAGGTTTGTGCTTCTGCAGAACTGAAATTGGAGATGACTAAATTTCAAATAGACTCAGAGGTTCTAGAAAGGTAGAATAAACCTGAAATGTGGAGAAACAAGAGTCATAACAGTGTGGCTGCTAACAGTGCTAACAATGCTAACAGGTTGGAGTTTTGTAGGTGTGACATCTCAGTGTGGCGCGTTAGCATGCTAACATTTGCTAATTAGCACAAAGCACAGCTGGCTGATGGGATGTCATTAGGTTTGCAGGTATTTATATTGTGATTTATTAAGTAAAGAGGCTTACTGTATTTAATCAAATCAACTCAATCGTTTTAGTTTACTTAATTATTTGAGTTTTGGGATTTTTTCGACCACAGTACAATTAAAAACATGAAGTTCTCATAACTTGAGGCAGTTTGACTTAAAATGAGTTGAATGAATTAGGATCTGAAAGTTCATTCAACCTATTAAATCACATTTATAAAAAACATCAAAGACTTCCCATGATGCACTAATAAAGAGTAAAAACTTCTCAGAGACTGTTGTGTTTTCAGTTTGAAAATATGTCGGAAACTTGCTGTGCGTCTGTTAAATTAATCTGCGGTTGTTTCTCTTCATAATAATCGAAGCAATTCTAACAATGACAAAGGTTACCACTGAATTCAGTCCCTACACCCACAGACAGTATATAATATAATATATAATAATATATAATTTATCTCACTGTAACTTGAAGTAGCCTCACAGATTGACTTTATACTGACTTTGATAAAAAAAATTTAAAAAAAGAAAACAAAAAAAAGTTTCTCAAAGTTAAATGACAAAGAAACTCATTAAACTTAGAAAATGTTGAGGCAAAGCAAGTCAGTCTGCAGCTCCTGTCATTCAAGTCAATAACTTGAGTTTATTTAACTTATTTGCTCAACTCAGCTACGATCACAGAGACAGTGATAATAGAAATGAAGTCACCTCCTGTGCCATGAGCATAAACTGTCCTCAGCCTCTCTCTCACTTTAGACACAGTATGAATCCTGCTGTGGTGCGATAGTGCTGCTCTTTAATAAAGTCACACAGAAGATAGATTTGTTTATTCAGTGCGACACACTGTCTTTAAACAGATTTCATGAGCTGTATGCGAATTGATGGCGCTGAAGGAGGCAGAGCTCAGCTCCGGTGGGCTCTGGCTCAGCTTAACCTCTGTTTACAGCTCTAGTCTATACACAGAATTACATATGTGAAGGCGCAACACGTGTTAAGAGAAAATGTTTCTGTGACTAAATCATACATGAAGCGTATCCTCTCATACAACGACAGATGAAAGCTTCACATTTGTACCAATTGTCATCAGAACGGTCCGATGCACACGACAGGAGTGTGAAGGCCGGCACTAAGCATCGACATGAGCCGTGGTGTGTTATTGGTGTTTGAAGCTCAGCGACAGGGTCGCGGTATGTTTACGGGGCTACTTCTCTGTTAGAGTGAAAGTGGCGGCCTGATAAGTCACATGTAGCCCTGAACCAATGACCTGTGTTAAGGAGGCGTAATTGTCTTTTTACAGCAGGCTCTAAATCTATCCTCGCCTTCCCTTCGCCGCTCACCCCTGCCATGCAGAGTCTGGTTGCCTAGCAGCAGCTGTCCTCGAGTTGTTTCTTTTGTTTTTTTGTCTTTGACTGATGGGCAACAAAGTCAGCTCTTTTTTTTTATTTTTATAATTCCGGTAATAGGCAGCGCTATCAGTGCCGGCTGCAGAGTGGATCTAATAATGAAAGATGGGACAGGGAAGGACATCTTATACTTGAAATGCTGAAATCATTCATTTTGAATACATGCAGGATTTTACAAGCTTAAAAAACACAACATATTTGTCACTACCTATTCACTGAGAGTCCTTGTGTTGCGAGAATGTGCCTGCTACTGTGTTTATGTGGATATTCACGTCTCTACTGACCTGCAGCCATCTGCATGTATCCAGCCAGGGTGCAGATCCTCCTCTCACACCCTCCACTGGGCAGGAAGATGGTGATGATGGCCAACAGGGAGCTGACAGCCAGCAGAGCACAGCCTCCTGAACACAGCACCGCACTGGTCTGAGGAGCACAAACACACAGAACAAGTCCATTTTAGCTGCATATGTATATTGAGCACATTTTCACAAGCGGGACAAAATGTAGGAAAGCTGTTATGTAGCCACACAATGTTTACCTTCCTGTCAAAGTTCTGTGATTCGTTTCCATGTTTGAAAACATCCCCCAAAGCCAAGCATGTTGTGTTATGTTGTGGTCAGACTGTGTAATCTGACAGTCAGTCATTGCAAACAGGTTAATAGCTCTCTCAGCTGGAAGGCAGCACTCCAAGGCCGAAGAGGAAGGCATTGTCCCTATTCATTATATCTTTGCTTAATCGCACGCATGCTGAGAGCGAGAAGAGGCAAACAGTCAGAAAGCAATAATACTGACACACAGCAGGACTGCTGTGGTGAACTGGTCACTGGTTGGTCGATACATCTCATACAACCAGATGATCACTAGTTGGACAACTGCAGTTTCAAAAAGGAGAAAAGCGCTAAATCGATAGCACTTATGCATTATTTTTGGTGGTGGGAGCAACAGAGCACCTGTGAACACTCACTGAGTTCCCTCAACTATTCACCAACGCAGACAGATCGGTGTAACTTATTCAACGTTTAGAGCCGATTCGTTGTTTCTGCAGCCCTGTGCGCTGACCGATTCAGACCTTGAAAACCGACAGCAGTCTCAGACACACAGAAGCTCTATTCATGCCTCTCATATCGCACAGAGAAACACACACAGAGCTCCTGAAATACAGTGACTTTGCACTTTTTTGCAGTATGTAGCAGCTATTTACATACTGGGCTGAATGTGAGCGATTATTCCTGAGGTGTCCTTGAAGACAGTGTGCGGACACAGCACAGGATTTCTGGAGAATTCTGACCTTCCCACTGGCTCGTCAATGGAAAGCAAGTGCAAATCAAGTCCTGCAGCAACTGCTTCAATTACAACTCTTTTAATTATAAAGGTGCGGAAGATGGAGAAAGTTCTTGCACAGCTTTATCCATTTGTTTCCCTTCATTTGCAGTCAGCACCTTTGCAGCTCACACAGTTGATCACAAACTCATGTCAAGAGCACCCTCGCTAACACATAAAGCATGAATTGGCTTTGAAGCAACATTCCTGGACTGTTATTTGGAGTCGGCTCCAAACCAACTGACACCAAGTCAAAGAAGTTTTCAGGGTGGCTGAATTTTGTTGGCCAAATAGTTGAATGTAAATTTGCAAACAGCGTTTTTCATGACAGTCCAACAACCAACACTGTGTTAGGTTCCTCAACAGTTATCATACTCGGATCATCAGTTGATGTAGTTTTC